CCTTTTGCTGTTAATTTTTCAAAGAAAAACAGTAACATTTAACTGAATTTCTGCATGTGCATATTAATATTCAGGAAGATAATGACCTGTGTTCACTTTAAAGTGGTGAGTGTTACCATTTGTTTTGTTTGGAATGTCTATACCTTACCTCATCTCATCAGAGTGAGACCCAGACTGAAGTTCTATGTCTTTGGAGACTTTTCTATTTAAAAAAAATAAACATAGAAAACCTGTAATTAAAAGTTTATGTTTTCATTAAAGAAATACTTAAAGAAGTAAACCTCCAAAACTCCAAAAGATGTGACAATCAGTAATTTTTAAATGATGTTGATGTTAAGACTCTATTTTAGGCATAAACTGGTTGCTAAATGGTAAAACATTTAGAAAAGTTACAATCCCACTTTGGTCTTCTTATTTCACATTTTTTTCGAGGATTAGGTTCATTAATTAAGTGTTTCATACACTGTTACAGATTTTGTGCTCAAACAAAAGAGAGTTTCAATGAAAACTGCTTTACAATCATGCAAATTTCCTTCATTTCATATTCATAAACCTTACACCCAACAGAGCCTATTTCACAGTGTCAGGGACACGTCCCAAGGGTGTCTAGTTAAAAAAAAAAAGGAAATGACAGATTCGCCAAGCCTTCAAATGGAAATTTTAACATAAAATAAAGACACATCTTGAAATTATTTAGGAAGGCAAATTAGTCCTTCAAAAGGCACAAGCAAATATTGGGATATCTTCTCCGAGAGTAGAGAGCACACCACACCTCAACTTGGTAAAGACAATGATGTAAACTGACCTCAGGACCCAAAAACAAATTGTTAAAAGGTGAGCCTAGACTCTTCTTGAAAGGTTCCTTTACCTTTTATAAGGGGACAACGTGCTCCATCTGTGCAGAGAACAGCAGGGTAACTACATGCTCCTTGATGTGCAGCCAGACAGGTACCTGTGCTTTGTTAAGGATGCTGAAATCTCAGGAAAGCTGGAGGACTGAGGACAAGTTTCAGGAATGCCAAGAAGCAGAGGTGGTTCATCATGGGTTAGGGCACAACAGACTGTGTTAAGGACTACTGTGAGCTATGCCACAAGTCATTGATAACTAGACAAAAATCATTTACCTGCTTACAATAAATTATATGCATTCAAGGTTATCCCTACAAAAAGTTACCTCACTCTTGTTCATTCAGTTTGCTTTCTAAATAGGCACAGAAATGGGTGGAACAACAGCTAGCTCCCTGGATGTTTCTGTATTTGGGAAACTACTATCCCTGCTGCTGGAACTATGTGCATGCACGCAAGTGCACACACAGGCAAGCACGCACAGAACGTTCTACAGCCCAGGCCAAGCTCCTTTGAGACAATGAAGTGCAAGGTAGCCACCTGCAGAGAATAAAGCCTTAATTAAAGGAGGAGGAAGAGAAAGAAGAGAAAAAGTCTCAATGGTGTAATTTAATAAAGCCAAGGGACCCACTGCCTTCATTGCCACTCTCAGGTAGAAGTACACAGACTCATTTCTAAAATTCGAATAAGCAATAAGTAGTCTTAGCGAACCCTAGGACTTGAAGATGGATGGGAAGAGAGTAAAGGTAAAACATTCCAAAGACAACACAGGGCTGAGGGAAGAGAGGAGAGGAGAGAAATAAAGGCTTTTCATAGGGCTGACTCTACAGGAGGAAGAGGCTGGAGGAGCAAGGTGTTAGAGCAGGGTGCTAGAGAAACAGAGTGTGACCTAGGGAATAACGGGTACATTGTGCAGAACTTACAGTAGAATCTTCCACATCCCATTAAGAGAACAAGGAGAGGAGTGGTCATCTTTATTGGAATAAAAATATGCAGACAAGAGGCCCTCCAAATTATAAAAGAAAAATTTGGACAAACAGAATCTTAAGAAGGCCAATAACTGAGAAAAAGGAAAAGGAAATGAGCAATCTAACACATCAAAAAATGTAGGAAAAGATGAAACAAAAACACTAAGAAACCAGATCCATGCATGCATGTTTAGCTGAAATACAGACAGGATAAAAGGCACGAACCAGCTGCATGCCACTTACAAGAAACACTTAAAACAACATGAAAAAAGGCAACGAGCAAAGAGATAGTAGACAAATGTAAGCCAAAAGGAAGTAATCCGTTTAGGATTTTTAAATGAGTTTCTCATTCTTTTGTATAATACAACAATGTTTGTTTTTGTCGTATTTTGTTATAAATATAATTGATTAAAACGAGGACTCTAGGATACTGACACAAAGATATGACAAACTGTGATTCTCCGATCTGGAAACTTGTGAAAAATGGAATTTCTAAGACCCCACTCCAAACCTTACAAACATAGACTTCAACATGAGGCCAGTAACCTGTTTTTAATAAGCCCTCCTGGCAATTCTGTTCATTTTAGGGTTTACATAAGCCTATCGATGTACTAGTGGCTTTGGTAGCCTAAGCTCAGCCCTCTGCCAAAGCGGGATGCTGTGTTGGCTCCAGTGAGGGAAAACATGGCAGGGTCTGATGGACAGGAAGGAAATGGTAAAGAAACGTGATGGCATGTGGATAAGCCACATCTGCGATAGCTCCAGAACAAACTTTAAGAGCTTTAGCAAGAGAGAGAAACAGAAGAACACACGACACACACACACACACACACACACACACACACTGAAATTTCACCGGCTCAAGAAAGTTGCATAATACTTTGGTTCAAACAGTCTTGGATTTGAATCCAAGCTCTGTCATTTCTAAGTTGGAATGGCATAAAGTGAGTGATTTAATTTCTTTAAACTTCAGTTCCTTCATCTGTAAAATGGAGAAAATAAGCTTATCTCAGGAAGTTTTTGTGAGAATCAGATGAACTAAAGTAATAAAGTCTTTAGCATATCATTAGTACTTACAGCCTCAACAAGTGGTAGTTGTTATTTTAATAATAAACCTGACGGAAGCTACTCTACACTTAGCTTCTCTATGTGCTTTGTAGGTTTTGATTTTATAATCTTCAAAAGAATCTTATGAGGCATATACCATTACCATTGCCTTTTTACAGGTGAGAGAACTGAGGCATAGAAACACTGACTGAAAGTTAACAGCTGGTAAGTAGCAGAGCCTAGATCTAATTCAAGCAGGCTGGCCCTGAAGCCTGTGCTGTATGCCTCTCTAGGATGATGTTAATGAAAATATATGAATCCTCTTATTATTAGGACCACTCAAGATGTTTAAACTCTACATTTCCACTGTGCTTTCTACCTGTATATCATTGGAGCTCCGTGCAGAAATAGAGGACATGCCCAGCTAGTGGGGAAATAAACCAGTAATATCAGAGTCAGATTTCTTCCAGTAATACGAAAGATTTGGCCCCACGAATTGTCCTTTTATTTATGGTTTATTCTGCCAATGCTGTGGCACACATTTGTCCTTATTTCTGCATAAAATATTCAACAGTGCATGTTGTTCTATACCCTCTACCACCTATATGAGAAGGATGATCCCACCCTTCAAATCTCTCATGCCGAGGTTCTTAATTGCCTCTTAGCATTGCTCTTCCATGCTACTAACCTTGCAAAAACTCATACTTGAGTAAATTCTTCACCCTGCCTATACTAGTGCCATTGAGAATTGGTGGAAAATGACACAACTATTATGGGACTATTCATAAAAAGCACTCAGCACACTTGCAATCACATGGTGAGTGCACAAGAGAAAATTCAAGCTATTATGATTATTAGTCTATTTTATTTCACTCTTAATAATGACTGTTGTAGATATTCTCTGTTCTCCTCTAGGCAAATGAACCCTGGAACTCCCTCAGCTTCTTGCCACTAAACCAACAGGCTAACTTGCATCCATATCTACAATTGTGATTTCCCTCACTTTGAGGGGCAGATGTTCCTTTTCCTACTATTAACTTTCTATGGGCATTCAGCAATTCTGGACCCCTCCTGCCTTTTCAGGACCTCCTTCATTTAGTCATTCTTTCCTGTTCCTATAGCTTCAATCTTTTTCTCGAAAATATTTTCTACAGTCAGCAGAAAAATGTTCTAAGATGTCACCCCCACTCACCCTTCAACCCACTGAAAACTGGCTTTTAGTCTCTAACACCCCCCTGTAATTGGTCTTACCAAAGTCACCAATTTTTAACAATGTCATTATGTAGTCCAGGAATTATCTTAAAGAAATTCTCCCCAAAATGGAAAACACAATGAACACGAGACATTCATTGGAAACTCTTTTATGCAAAAAGTTAAAAGTAAACGAGATGTCCACAGTTAAGAGAATGTTAAATTATAGTGCATCTACCTGATTGAAAACTGTGCAATTTTAAAATTGATAATTATAAGTCCATATGGCAATACCTAAAAATCCTTCTTCAGCTAACTTTAATAAGAAGGAACAAAGTTTTTATAAGTACATTATGATTGCAATAATGGAAGATGGTTTGAATGAAAAACAAAAGGAAGAGAACCCACGAATATCAAAAATATTGCATTTGGTTTAATGTTTGAGTGTTTAAATTATGATTGATATTTTTCCTAGTGTTTGCCAAATTTTTTGTAATGTTGCGACATTGTTTTCATAATTTAAAAAAAAAAAACACCTTTTTTCATTAACCAAAGTTATGCCATATCAGTAAACCTGCGAAGTTTTGCAGCCTTTCTCACATTCAATGAATATATTGAGGGACTATGTATCTTTAGCCTGAAGATGGCTGAAGGGTAAATAATTTTTTCATTTTCGGCTGATCTCTTAAGCTTCTTCTGTTTGCAGAACACTCTATTAAACTTGGAACTAGTCAAAAAGTGAATTGAAGTTGACTTTGATTGGCATAAATACTGTATTTATCTTCTCAGATATGTAATCAAGAGGCAGCTATCTGGCCACACTTGATTACTAACATATCTAAGGCTAATGTAATATCAACTTTATCATCTTGAGTATTAGAGATAAAATCTGAAGCCCTCAGAGAGGGCTTACTTACCTTTTCCTCATCTTTTACAAAAAGGCTGTAATGCATTTTTTCATTAATTAATATCAGAGTAAATTTGAAGAATAAATGAATTACATTCATCACTTTAATTGAAGAAGTCTTTTTTAAAAAGTATGTGCATCATGCGGAATTAGCAGTATTCTGATCAATAAGTAGTTAAGAGGGGTCAAAAGGATTGACTACTCTAAATATCACACCAATTGAAAATAAATACACAGAAATAAATAAAGTGGTCCTCTGTAACTCGTAGCCTTGCTTCCCAGAACATAATTTTTATACCGGCTTACTATTGCATTCAGCCTTTCTTTGTCTCCAAGTCTTATTTCATGCATGTTCCCCAGACGGATGAATTATAGGACAAAGTCCTTCTCAGAAGGTCACATTCCTGGGATGTTGTCCTTCCTTTTCTACATAAACCTATAAAAAGGAGAATACAAATATTATTTACTACTATCTAAGGTCTGTCATTATGATCTGACTTTATAAAACAAATATCAACTCTAGATTAATACTGTTGGGGTGTGGTAGACAGTGTGAGGGGTAAACATTGGTAAATCAGCTTTTGCTCTGCAGTTTTTCAAATTACATTCATCCAGTAAATGTTCTTATTTTTTCCAGCTTCTCCAGTTTGCAGTGTCTCCAGTTCACCTCTACTCCCATAGCACCCCACTGCTACGACAGGTATGATTTCATATTCATTCACTATGTTGACAACAGATAAAAGTTTGAGAACTTCCAAATTAAAAGACCAGAAGAATATAGCTTCCTTACACAAAGCCTGGAGATTTGCAGGCACCAATGAGATAGCACTATGTGTGTAAGGTGTGGTATCATAAAAGGAGAGTCTAAAATAGTCTGAGGAAGATCCAGATCAGATTAGGCTGTGACTAATATTAGACCATAGGTACCTGTTTCTTTCAGAACTTGCCCTGTTAAAATCACCTATTGTATATTTGTTTCATTCTGGGAAGTAGTAGACTGGTGAAGCCGATAAAGAAGTTTGTTGAAAGGATATTAGAGAATTACAGAAGATCTGAGAAGGCTGAGATTCCAAAATAGGTGCCATGCTTTCTGCAAAGATACATAAATTGTCCAAAAGTAGTTGTATGGGTTATCTCCTACTTCTGCCACCATGAACTAGGTGCTAAAGTTGGCACAGCCACCAGGGACATGACTCTCCTCCCATCACTATGGTCACCAGCACTAGGACCACTTCTGTGCCAGAGACTTGAAAGTGTCCAAGAACATTTCATGGCTCTACTGAACCCTCACCTGGAGAGTAGATTCACATTCCTCACCTCCCAACCCGAGGCTTGGGTAAATGCATCTGATTTATAGAGCCGTAGTGCATCCTACCTGTACACACTACCTTAGGGCACACAAATAAAGCAATAGTCCAGTGATAGAAAAGGTGTTTAAAGGCTGCTGGAAAGCAGAGTGCATAACAAAAACAATTTCAACATTTTACTGTCATTTACCTGTGTCAGTCATTTACTTAATGAAACACTTGTTTTGCTTAAAAGAGAAAAGGTAAGCAGAAAACTGATAAAGGTCTTTAAATTCACCTACTTGGGAAGGTGCCAGTTGCCCTGAGAACAACTACTGTTTGTTCTATACTATATATAAAGACTATACGCAACTCTTAATAGTTAAAAAGAACTATGTCCATCAATGATGGACTGGATTAAGAAAATGTGGCACATATACACCCCGGAGTACTATGCAGCCATAAAAAAGGATGAGTTTGTGTCCTTTGTAAGGACATGGATGCAGCTAGAAACCATCATTCTCAGCAAACTATTTCAAGAACAGAAAACCAAACACTGCATGTTCTCATTCATAGGTGGGGATTGAACAATGAGATCACTTGGACACAGGAAGGGAAACATCACACACTGGGGCCTATTGCAGGGTGAAGGGAGGGGGGAGGGATAGCATTAGGAGATATACCTAATGCAAATGAAGAGTTAATGGGTGCAGCACACCAACATGGCACATGTATAATATGTAAAAAACCTGCACATTGTGCCCATGTACCCTAGAACATAAAGTATAATTTTAAAAAAAAAAGAACTATACTGAGTTGTTATCTTATGCTAAATGGTGCAAAGTAATGTGTAGACATGATTTTACTTAACCCTTATATAACCACATCAGTTGTTTACAGATAGGACTCAGAGAAGTTGGGTGACTTGCCCAAGGTCACACACCAAGGATGAAACAAAGCCAGGATTTCCACCCAGCATGAGGCCTGGCAGGTGTTCAGTATTTCACCCAAACCACCACCCCCATCTAGGGACCTTTTGAGGGTTAGCAATACTGCATCACGGGAAACCACTAGCTACAAACTCCATGCTGTAGCCACACTGAGTTGTCCAAGCAAAGTGAAGAGGAACCAGAAGAAACACAAATTCAGAAAAGCAGCATCCAAAGAGGCGATTCCAGTCTAGTTGCAAGATGAACCTCCCAATTTCCAAATTACATATGTTGGAGCAGTGCTCTTCAAATTTATTTTGCTCAAGTATCTCCTAAAATAATTTGAATAACAATATATCCCCTTTGACATTTCCTAAATTGATATTTACAATTTTTTCATTGTAAGTTTAAATAGCTGAAAAGCATGCAATTTCTCCTACATTGTAAATACTGATATTTCAAAATAGAAATCGCATCAATTTTAAATGTATCCAATGGAAACTACATACATACAATGTGATACATCCCATCATCTATTTTAAAAGGACATTAAGAAGCTACTCTTTCCCAGTTTACCTTTTCCTTTTCTCCTTGAATTTGTATTTTACTTCCCTTATACAATTTAATTGTAATAAAATATATTTAATTCTTCAAAGTCTTTTGTTAATCTCTTATCATGTTTCTCTATGCTAAGAAAGTATTGTGTTTATTAATTGAAACTTGTTTATTTTAATCCCCAAATCTCTAATATTTAACAAAAAAATCTGAATTAAGTTATATTTTAGTAGTAACAAGTGATTAAAACTACATAAATATACAAATAGATTTAAAATATTGATACATCATTACTAAGTACATCTAAGATTTTACTGGAAGTCCATGCATCCTTAATGCAATAAATGGAAATTTTGAAAAAAAGTTCATGCTTCTTGACATCAGGTTGCTAGAATGGAACTTGGCTATCTGAAATTTAATGGTTTAGAGTGGAACATATGGGCTTTTACTTTCAAATTTGCTCCTCTGGTCCTTACATTTTCTATTTCCTTTAGTGGACCTTTCAGTTACCTGCCTTAGAGTTACCCAGAGTGTGTGTTCCTCTCTCATCATTATCCACCAACTTCCAATCAGCTTTCAAGTTCCATCCTTTCCGAGTCTATGCTGTATTTTTTTCTCTTCTGTTACCTTATATCTACCACTACGCTGGATTGCATTGGTAGCTATTAATTGGGCTTCTGCTTTCCTTTCTTCTTCCCCAGCTAATCCATGTGAAATATTGCTACCAAGTCAGTCCTGCTGGCTCAAGCAAGTTTGGGTTTTGTGCCTATCCTGCTTTAAAACCTGCTATCATCCCTCATTTCCTAAAAAATTCCTACTGAGTGCATTAGCTTAGAACTACTCACTCAAGGCTGGGCGTGGTGGCTCATGCCTGTAATCCCAACACTTTGGGAGGCCGAGGCGGGTGGATCACCTGAAGTCAGGAGCTCGAGACCAGCCTGGCCAAATGGCAAAACCCTGTCTCTACTAAAAATACAAAAATTAGCTGGACATGGTGGCAGATGCCTATAGTCCCAGCGACTCGGGAAACTGAGTGGGAGAATCAATGGAACCTGGGCAGTGGAGGTTAGAGACCAAGATCGCACCACTGCACTCCAGCCTGGGTGATAAAGCGAAACTCTGTATCAAACAAAAAAAAAAAAAAAAAAAGAGAGAGAGAAGAAGAAGAACTACTCACTCAAGGCCAACCACAATCTGACACTAATCTTCCTTTCTGTACTTATTTTCTGCTATTAGTATGTGAGCAAATGTATGTCCATGCTTCTCAAACTCAGGTCACGTACATCCAGGGATGGGGGCCACTCCCATGATACAAAACTGTGGCATTTTCCTGAAAATAATTTAAGACTTTTTATCTGAAAACAAATGTACTTGTATTATGGAATAAAATGCAAACTTTGTAAAAATGTTTTAAAGGTCCAGATTTAAAGAAATGTAAACCTCACAGCAGTTCTCTGGTTACACTACCAAGTTCCTGTTGACTATTAGTACACACCAGAGGGGGTTTTAAGAAGCACTATTGTGTGAAAGTTCCTTGCTCAGCTCATATCAACTATGGTGAATATTATTGTTTAACTGCCTTTCATTTCTTGTGCAGCAATCACCCTCCCCGCGTACACTCTGTCCCTTCCTGCCTCCTCCGAATGTGCCTCTGCTCTTGCTTCCCAAAAAAGACCTGTCCTCCTGAAGACACATTCTGAAATCCCATCTATCTTTCAAAGCTGGCTCAGATTTAAGGCTTTTCTATCAGGGTTCTGTTAATCACTTATACTCCCCTCTCACCCTTCCTAAGAAATAATCCTTGATTTCTTCCTCTTGGAGGACACATATTATTTCATCCTGTTAAAGGAATCTTAAGCATTAACATGCTTGAAAGCAAGATCTGTATCTAAATAAAGTCCCTTTCCCTGCTCCTCCAATCATGCCTAGTATAATAGGTGCTTAATAAATAAGTAGTTGAATGACAGAATGATGGAGTAAAGCATCCCTTTGTGTCCAGGTATTATCACCAAATTACTATTTCTTTGTTTTACAAACCTATGATTGTTTTGAGACCATATAAAATGTATGTTCACCTCGGCTGGGCGCGGTGGCTCACACCTGTAATCCCAGCACTTTGGGAGGCCAGGGCGGGCAGATCACGAGGTCAGGAGATCGAGACCATCCTGGCTAAGATGATGAAATCCCATCTCTACTAAAAATACAAAAAAAAATAGCCGGGCATGGTGGCAGGTGCCTGCAGTCCCAGCTACTCGGGAGGCTGAGGCAGGAGAATGGTGTGACCCCGGTAGGCGGAGCTTGCAGTGAGCAGAGATCGGGCTACTGCACTCCAGCCTGGGCGACAAAGCGAGACTCCGTGTCAAAAAAAAAAAATATATATATATATATATGTTCGCCTCTACTCATAGCAGCAGACCATGGTCCATTCTGAATCACTGAAAAGTGACTCTCATGGTACGATTTGAAATTTAGTTATAAACAAGAAGACTCTTCCAAATCTTCTCATAGGTCAACAATTATAGAGCTAGATATCCCATTTCAATTGCCAATATTCTACCCTTCAAAGAAAAACATTAAGCTTTCAATGGCATTTTTAAAAGGTGGCTATACCTAATATAAACAAAATATTAAAATATTTACTAAAGCTTGAGTCTTATACATGGATAAAGGAGAACATTAATGTAGAGCATCTTTGCAGCACAGCTGCTAGGTCATTTCAGAAAATATGGGTCTGACAGATGGAGAGAAACTAGAATTAAACCTGCAGGTATTTCATGTTCTTTCTCAAGTCATGTTTATTTTAATTAAATTAGGGAAAAGAGAGTCTCATTTCTTAAAAGGAGAAGTCTTAAAGGACTTTCATCTCCCTACCATTTCTTTCCCTAGAGAATTCTGAATGGGGGCAGGGTGAGGTGGGGGAGGAGAAAGCCTGTGGCATTTTATGATTGGAATGAATAACTTTCAAAGGGAATGATACATTTCTTTTTCCAGAAATGTTTAACAGATTATGCTGTATAAGCTGTTAAGGTAAAGAGTCTTCAATTTGGAGGTAAAACGCAAAGAGAGAAACATAAAACCAAATTAGGTATCAAACTAATTAGAATCAATTAGTTCTTGCCAATAAATCCTGTATTTGTGTCTGGTTCACTATAACCACATGTTATTTTTAAAAGGGAATTATCTAATTATCCAGCAAGATATGAATTTATAGACACTTTGACCCACTTGTGAGAAATGGATTTATAGACATCCATTTCGTCTGCTGTCCGGAAACTTAATCTTACCAATCCAAAGTACATTCAGTTTCTTCTAGTTTTAACTCCATTCCATCTAGGTAAATATGCTGTCAATTCAACATTTCTCCTCCACGTTATTCTTTCTGTCCTGGCAGGATATATAGGATTATATATCCTGTAGAATATATAATCTACATTTCCCATGTCCTGGTGCTCTCATCAATAATCATTGTCATCAATAATCACTTTTGTAATACTTTAGGAACTGTTTAAATTATTTTTTAAATTGTCTGTCCATTTTAAAGATTAGGAAACTAAAGGACAGAGAGATTAAGTGGCACGCCAGATCTCACAGCTGGTAAGAATGTAAACTTCGGCACTAGGCTAGAGGCCTTTGATTCCCCATCACTGAGCATCCCTGTACCTGATTACCGCTGTCAGGAGTCATCTTGACTTTTTGGGACTCATACTGGCCACACTTGCACTGAAGCTTGAGACACAACCTTCGCTGGCTGGTGACAAGTTCTTCGCAGGGCACTCTGCATCTTCCTTTCTTTACTCAGGGCCTGTTCTATCTGTCTAAAACAAGAAAGCTTTTCAATAAATGGCTAATAAGATTTGTGGTTGAATAGTAGGTTCAGATATTAAAATCTCAATCTGTGTGGTCCTTTCCCCCCCACACACACAATGTATTTTTATTATTATTACACGTTAAAGCAAGTAATCTGCTCTTGAGGAGATTATAAGATTTCTGTATCTTGAGGAATGGTAATTATAGAAATCTCAAGTCTGTCTGTATTTTCCCCCTCAAATGGCTACACCATTAAGAAATGTAGGCCAGACGCGGTGGCTCACGCCTGTAATCCCAGCACTTTGGGAGGCTGAGGTGGGCGGATCACAAGGTCAGGAGTTTGAGACCAGCCTGACCAACATGGTGAAACCCCGTCTCTACTAAAAATACAAAAATTAGCCGGGCGTGGTGGCGGGCACCTGTAATCCCAGGTACTCAGGAGGCTGAGGCAGGAGAATCACTTGAATCCGGATGCAAGGTTGCAGTGAGCTGAGACTGTGCCACTGCACTCCAGCCTGGGCAACAGAGCAAGACTCTACCTCAAAAAAAAAAAAAAAAGTAGAAGTACACTGAATAGAGGTAAGGAGTTCAGGAAATGCAGAATAGGCACTGGGTTACATGAGAAAGAGAATTTGTGTGCTGCTCTGAAGGAGGTGACAAGATTTGAGAGAAGTGCTTCAAACTAGTATGGCCACAGACAGCCTTTCAGGAAGCTCCAGGTCACAAGCATGACATAGAAAGAACAGAAGAGGCCAGGACTGAAGAAGCCATGTGGGAAGGAGCAAGGAACATCTCAGAAGTTGTCAAAGCAGAGAGATGGCTGTAATGACTATGAGGGGCTCTCACTTCTAATGTGTTATCTCTGCAAAAGGCCCCAGATTCATGGCCCCCACCCCAGTGGAGAGAGGGAAACCCCAAGAAAGGGAGAAAGGAGTCAATCTTCTATCATCCCAGCAGAAAAAGCCCTTAGAAGTTGGCTTTTATTTCATTCCCTAGTCAATAAAGAGGGGCAACATTGTGTGGACACTTGAGTGCATAGATTGAGGCACCCCTGCTGCCAATCATTATGATTTCTGAATTTGAAAGTGAGCATGTGTATGTAACTGCCAAGAAAATACAGAAAGAGCACTTAAGAAGATTGACCATTTTTAGAGATAAAAGCTCATTTTCTCCAGTACTTGCAAATCTTGGCTAACTAGGAAAGATATTTGAAGAGGTAGATTGGTTTTCTCACAGTATACATACATCACCTATTAGCTACAGTCATGGTCAACCAAGTTCGGCACTACTGGGCTAAAGATATAATGGGAGAATCCCTTAACTGAAAGTAAGTTCTGGCTTAATAATCAACAGTCACACATTCCAGGAACACTTAGAAATTATTTTGAATTTGGCAGAAATGGTCTCTTTGTGAACATACCTTCGTATTCTGAATTCCCTCCAATGTGAATGATAAGTAAATTAAATCAAACTGGATCATACATCATTTGGCCTGAAGACACAGATGCTAGAACTCTATTCTGTCTGGCAGAGATAGCTGGCTCACTTCTGTATGATGAGCTCTACGTTGTTCTTTAGACAGGTGTTTCCTGAAAATTGACATCAAGAGTGTCAAAACAGAACCACAATAGCAGGCTTAATCAGGGACACCAAAACACACACAGAAAACAATGTTAGCTTACAAGTGATAGAAATTTCAAAGCAAGACAGAAAAAATAACAAATTTAGGGAAATATTTTAAATTTTGTCCTTTACACGTAACAGAAATGACTAAACACTTCCTAGTTCCTTACAAAATGATAGTCTCAATATCTGGGATTCGAAGAAACATTCTGGAAAATAGAATAAGGCATATAACATTATTGAATTGTGAATTCAGACACGTAAAGCATGGCATTTTGCCCAAAAGACCGTGATAATGTTGCTAGGCGTGGATCTTGGCTTCAGTTCAGTTGAAATCATCTCACATGCTCTGGATCTGAATAGGCAACTAATTTTGTTGGGGAGAGATTGTTCTTCAAGGTAGTTAAGAAAGGAATACATGAATGTCAGGGTGTCTTACGAATGCAGAGGTTGATTTAGGATATATGGCTAGATAGAGTCAGAGGGACAATTCAGCCTTAAGGAACTAGGTGTCCTTTCTCTCAGGCTGGTTACCAGACCTGGGATAGCCTGGGACATAAAAGCTGCCCAGATCGGGCCTTTCATTAGTACACACGGAGGGAGTTGTAGGTTGAAATTAGTGTGCAGGAGGCTCTTGGGGAATCAACACCTATGGTGGCAGAAGGAAAGATACAAGCAGAGGAAGAAGCTGAGCTGTGACGTGATCTCAATGAGAGCCTCAGCCAAATTCAAATGAAGTTCTGAAGGTGAAATTAATTTTGATAACCCAGAAACACAAAGTCAAATGCCACATGTTCTCGCTTATAAGTGGTAGCAAAGCAATGGGTACACACAGACATACAGAATAGAATAATAGACATTGGAGGCTACAGTGGGCAGGAGGGTAAGAGAGGGGTGAGGGGTGAAATGTTATTGATTGGGTACAATGTCCACTGCTCGGGTGACGATTACACTAAAAGTCCAGACTTCACCTCTGCACACTATATCCATGGAACACAACTGTACTCATCCTCCTAAATCTATGAAGATAAAAACTAAAAAAGAAATTAATGTTGAAGCTGACCCAAGTCAGGGTGTGATGCAAGGCTTTTATAAGTTCCCACTTCCTGCTCCCACCCCCATCTACCCCTGAAAAGAACAGAGCCGTGGGCATATCAACTTTCTTTGGGTGGCTCAGGGGGTTCTTTGAAGGGGATCACAGCAGAGGGCTACTGCTCTGCCCTGCCAGCCCACCACAGAGACATAATTCTGTGGGTGGTCATGAATGGCTTTCTCGGTTTCTTCTCTCTTTTAACTTATTTTACATATTTTCAAGGACTTATCATTGAGTGATTCTTTGATAGTGCAGTGGTAGCAAAAGCCCCACTTTATTAAGTTAATCAACTAATCAGCAATGCTGCTTCAGCAAACTGGCCGATTGCAGGCTTTGAAGGTGCCTACGTGACGTTATCAATACAGAGAAAGCATCATTCCTGATCACAAGCAGTTCCACTCCATTCACTGGAAGTTATCTGATACATACATTTTATTGGCGATATTATTAAAAACATATCTGTATATTGTATGTCAGAAGATTCACTGAAAGCAAATTCAAACAACCCTCACAAACGCTAACCTAGACTCTGGGAGAATAAATTAAATATCTATAGACAGAGAGACCAAGGATCAAGAGATCAAATATTATCTCAAGTGGAATGTATTATAGATTAGAAGAAATGAGCATTCCTTACTTCCTATTCTAAGTCCAATGTCATTATGTTTCTTTTGTGTCCCTATTTAGGGACATGAAAACATGTAGACAAAAATGAATATGATTATCAGAAGTTGTGTCTTTGGAGCCCAGGTATTTTATTATCAAAGTTTTGTTTTTCGTTACTTTCCTCTATGGACAATGAAACCCTGAATTATTACAATTACATTATTATTATTTACAGTCATGGTCAATAAGCCAGGGTGATACAATTATAGCAAACAAGAACAAATACTATTTAATTAGCATCACAGCTCTCTCATGCTAGTAAATGTATGACTTCTGTTAGGCTTTTGACATCTTAAGGGAAGAAAAAAAGAGCAACTCTAGGTTTATCCTAGCTACTTTCAAGAGACTTAGAATGAAAATCACTGGATCAGACACATCTAAGAAGGAAATATATTTTATGGCAAAATCATGTCAGACTTGCCTATTCCCTTTTAGTTTATTTCAGTAGCCCTCACAAATCCTTCACAAATAAATTAACCTATTTAGCTGTTATTAGAAAAAAAACTTTGAACATACATTAATCCAAAAATTTCTCAGCCAATTCAATTCTGAATTGAGTATTAAAGAAAACTCATTAAAATAATGGTAAATTTTTAAATTAAAAAAACCCCTCAAGTTTCATTTTACTCCTTGGTCTCCAGGTTCTAAATATTGCAACAAGCTCTGTCCATGTGCAAAGGTTTAGGATGGAGAGTTCACGCACCAGACTGTAGATGAAATGAACAATGGAAACAAGCAGAGATGACATGTTTTGCTCGAATTGCTTCAATTAAAGTTAGACCCTATGCCCAGAGGTTCAGTGGCTTTGCTCCCCGTTATAAAAAACGTCCTTCTTTTGACATCAGCATTTTGTTTCCTAGCAGAAGCATTCCACTGAGATTTTATGCATCTCATCAACACTATTCCATCTCCTATGCTAAACGTGCTATTACGAAAGGTTTGCAGTGTCTGGAAGCTGGAAGGGGCTGTGCCCAGGCTATTCCAGCAGCTTAGCTATTGCATTGGCACATCTCCAGCTTCTCTGCTAAATACATAATTAAATCTCACGGTCGACATGGTGTGATTCATTCCCATAAAGTGTGAAAACAAACAACTGTGCATGCGCTGTCCCCAATTTCAAATTCAAAACAAAAATATCCTGGAATCTTCTATTTCCCTTAAGTTCCAAATGTAATTAGACCGTTTTTAAAGGCAAGTAGTCTTCCAGTTTCCATGTGTTAAATCCAATCTGTCAGTTACAAATGGGGTGGGGGGGGGGACAAACGACTGCAAAATGTAACATCTTGGTTTCCTCTCTTTATAATCAAGTGCTCAAATTGACTTATTTTCCCCTAGAATTACCAAAATGTCATTGCTCTCTCATGCAGAGCCTTTGTTTATTTACCAGTTTACAGCCAAGAGCAAATGTTCACAAGTAAGTAATCAGACCCTCCAAGTGCTGTTGACTAATGCAAACTTACAAACTGCAGCAATGTGACTAGGGGCAGCCGTGATGCTGGTTTTGGCTCAGTTCCATAGCCCTAAGTCACAAGGAATTTAAACAAGATGCCCAGCACCTCTCTGCAGACGTCACTACCAAGTTCTTCTGTAGGGCAACAATTCTTTTCATTTTTCCAAATAAACTTCACATATAATGAACTAGATTCTTCCAGCTGCCTCCTAGGAAAAATTCAATATATGAGGAGCTAGAGTAAAATTTTCTATCCATAAATAGATATCTCCAGTATATTTGTATTGGTGAAATGCAAAATAAATTAGAAAATATTTCCAGAAAGGAGAGAGTCATAAGATTACATTTTTCTTTTCAATAAATATTAATTTTGTGACACAAGTCTACAATTAAAAATTTAAGTAACTGAAGAGAGATTTTAGCTAATCTGTGAATATAAGTCTACAGAGGTTAAATATATTTTATGCAAATGTGTCTCATATACAAACATAGCACAAATATACTGCTCTTTAATGACCAAGAATATTCTTACATTGTCTTCCATTTTTCTTGTTTGATTCTCTTGTAATATACTTACATACTTCTTGAATCTATACTATACATATATATACACACACACACACGATTATACTTCCTTGTACTATACTTATATGTATTTCCTCTACACTTTAGCTGTACTAGATAACATGTTCTCTAACATGGCTTATGCATCCCTGACTCTATAATTCTGCTAATTCTGTTTCCTCCACTGAGAATTCTATTCCACAAACTGTCAAAACACTTCCCTGATATTTCTCAGCCCAATTCAAATGCCATTGAGCTAAAATATTTGTCTCCTCTTAACCCCTTATAATATTTTATTTGTGCTTCTCTAACTTTTTAATAGTATTAGTATATACACCATTATATTACTCTACATCTACAAAATTATAGAGACTGATGAAAAGAATTACGTCTCATTCATTTTTAATCTTTGTTAAAGCCAAGAGCAAAATTTTAAAGATAATCCATGCTCAAAAAAAAAATGCATTGATGGAACAAAGAAATAAATGAGCTAATGTATTTAGCATGCATGCTGATTGTATAGAAACTTTTTGAAGAGCAGAGGAGCAAAAAATAAGAATCTTTTAAAGCATTCATAATCCATGCATATGTCTTTTGTACACCGTGTAAGTGCAAATAAAATATGTGCACAATTTGTATTTGCAAAAATATCGTTAGTCTATTTTGGAATATACCACATTGACTTAGTATTACCGTATATCATGATTGAATGTGTGTCATTATAATATTTTTCTACATACGTTTTAGATAGTAATTCATTATGTGGTCACAATATACTTTTAGATAATCTTCTGCTACATATTTTGATTGCTTCTCATTTTTCTGGCTTTATCTCTCCTACTGTGTTCTAATTGTTTTAGTAATATAAATAATTCTCTACCTCTACTGCTAGTTGCATGCTAAAAAAAAATGCGTATTTTACCATTGTCTCTCACCTGAAACATTGCATCAGCCTGCTAACTGTTCTGCTTGTTTTCACTCTCAGCCTTCTCTAAGACATTCTCAACCAAGCACACAGAGTGATGATATCATCTGTCAGTTCATGCCTCCTATTTCCTCAGAATATTCCAATGTCTTTCTGTGTTTTGCAGAGTAAAAGCCAAAGTCCAATTAA